ACAATAAGCAACATCTGAAAAAATTTGGAATTAAGTATTTGAATTACATAAAAATGGAATCTGTCGACACCAAAAGTGGAAAATATGCCCGGAAAATAAGTAAGTTTTTGTATTTTCTAAAAAGAACAATATTATTTTCATGCGACATCGATGTATTAAAATTATATTAATAGTGTGCATTGAATCATAGAAGCGCATTCATTTTATATCTGACTTAGCTAGACACTGTAGCAAATCTATTTTGAGATTTGAGATCGGAAATTGTTCTAATAAGTCAAAATAAGTTAAATCTAGCATATAACATTTCCATTTAGCTAAAGGATATAAATACTCCAATAATATTGGCAATAAACTCGTAATTCTTAGTCTCGCGATGATAATTTCATAAAGCATATAATTAAAATTAAAGTGTGTAATTACAGATTTTAAAGCAATGAATAACAATAATCTAATGTTTGTCGATATGCTGAAAAAATACGTTATTTGATTTATAACTTTATAATACTTGTAAAGCTATTAGTAACTAATACGTATATTACGAGAGATGTGAAAGGATAGAATTATATAAATACAATATAAGAGACTTTAAAGGAATATCTTTTAAAAGTAAATGATATTTCATCAGAGATAAGAGTCCACTATCTACAATTATCTTGTTAAGCATGCAATAAAGACTTTTAATACCAAATACATTCTTTAAAAAATAATAAAAATTTCCAAAAAAATTATTAGTGAGTTGTGGCGAATATTTGTTACAATAATTCCTAATGAGATGAGCATTAAAATAAATTAAATAGTATACTAGTATAATTCCATTTATAAGTTTAAAGTAAAGGCAAAATTTATAAAATTTGTGCATTCCGAAATCAATTGCATTTGTGCTACGACTCCGCACAACTCAGTAAATAGATATCATAGCCCAACATTTACAAATGCTAATCACTGCCTGAAGGAGGCAGGGAGGTGAATCCAATGAAAATAACTGACTAAACAGCTATGGACATAGACAAGCACCGGAACAGCAGTCAGAGAGACGACACGACCAGCCCAAAATCAACATGACAGGCCAAACCAATCAAATCTTAAAATAATAGACAAAACACCAGACACCAGACACCGAGTCGACCGAGCCTGTGACTGGCTGAGCCAACATTTAAATTTGGCCAAAAGCTACTTTGTGGCTTTAAAGCAACAACAACAATGGCAACAACCAGGGCTAAGCAGAAAAGTAAACATGGCATAGATGTCGAGCTGGGTAGTGTTAAAACTTTGACCACATGAAAGGCAGAGCGGCGGCACAACATGAAAATTTCCCCCCCGTCTGGGCGACGCTTGTCGAGCTCGCACTGAACTTTATGCAAAATGCTCGCGGCCCATTCACACACACACACACAAACCGATACACCCAAACACACATGCTCTATATAGTACTACTATGTCGGGGTGTTAACTGCTTGGAAGAGTGGGCGCTTGTTCTATGTGTTAATTTGGTTTTCGTAATTGTAACTTGGCATGCGAGGGCCAACTGGAAAAGTGTTTTAATTGAATTATTTTCATTGTCGCCCAGCGAATAACGTTGCAGCTACTGTCGATGCTGGCTGGCTCCTGGCGTTATTAACTTTTTTGTTGCTGCAATTTATGCAAACTTTTCAACAACAACAAGAACAACAATAAAAAAAAAACACATACTACATACAGACAACAACAACAACAAACTGTTGGCTTACCCCCGCAGTAACAAAAAGTTAAATGAGTTAAACGAGCAATTTTATGAGCTTGTCGAAAGTTTTGCAAATGCCACACAATACCGGTACAAATGCACTGATGGAACTTGGCGTTATTTTCGGATTCGCTGCCAATTGCCAATTGTGTGGGTAAATAATGTGGAGGGTACGAGCTGGTGCCCTTTCATTAACCCTTGCCTGACAAAGTTGTGCCCTGCTGTTGCCCCCATGCCGTACACCTAGTTGTGCTTCTCTAATTGTTTCTTAATGCGATTTACTCAGTTCAAATTCGTGTGCAGTATCGATTGATTTGCATTTATGATTCGGTTATAGCATTCAGTTATGAGTGTACCTCGATTTGTTATACTTTTCATGAAAAAATATAAAAGAATGGCTTTTAAAATCGACTATATATTTTTATCTATATTGCTAGCGGTTAAAGCAACTATGATATATTTTAATGGGCCTATTAAATAAACCTGTGCTTAATTCTTATCACTACTACCACCCTTTTATATGAGACGCAGGTGGTTTTTCTATTGCTTTCATTCAATGCGTACACAGTTGCTTCATTTGAATATCGAGTCTAATACGCGTACTATACTCTATTTCATACAAATTTACCTACCATTATTAAACTATATTTTAAATTCACACTGTGGAGAAACAGTATCCAAGAGTACAACAAATATTTTGCCATAAAAGTCCTAGCCGCAACTTTTTAATAAATCATTTTCAATTTATATTTTTATAAATCCGTACTCTCCACTAAATCATAAAGCTTTCTTTTTACACAACGGCAGTATGTATTATATAATATAATGAACTAATATTCACATTACTAAATGTTACTGATTTACTTACATGACATAATACTATAGTTTAAAACAAATTGGATATCACATCATTTTTTAACGTCTCAATATATATAAAATATTTCAAGGCACAATAACCCTTGGTGGTTATAGTATTATATCGAATTCATTATTAAATTATTACATGAGTAATGACTCAGATTCAAATAATTAATTATTATTCAAAATTGTATGACGGAGAAGTCAAATGTGAAGACCATGTTGAATTGTTCCTAGACTTCGAATCATTATTATCAATCAACCCAAACAGTCGATGCTTTTTTCTTTTAGCCGGGTTTTTAATTATTTTGCAAAATTCTGAAAAACAAAGTTGGCGATCTTTGCACAATATTGCGACGACTGATTGATTGAAGATCGCATTTCAACCAACAAGTACTTCAAATATTCCGCTGGCTTCGTAAGACTAATACCTGTTTAACGACGTTGAAACCATTTAAAGGAATTGTAGCGCCATTCTAAAGGACATGCCTGCCGATGGCCTGAAACAGTCATTTAAATACTTCTTGATCGTGGAAAACGTTGCATTGAGTCGGAAGATGATTATTTTGAATTAAAAAAAAACTCAAGTAGACACTTATATTTCATAAATTAATTTTAATTAGTTGAGAATTCAAAATGTACGATAATTTTAATCTGTAGTAGTATACATATTTGCTAGAAACAGTGCATTTTTAAATTATGCCAATTCCTTTTAGTCAGTAAGTGCAACATTTTAAGTTTCACTTTTGTGAACTAATAAACAATTAAAGCATTATTGAAATTTTAGATAAATATCAATCACTACTTAAATAAATGCCTTTAAATGCCCTTGCTAACCCACTAATTTGAAATACTACTATATTTGAAGCTAATGGCTAATGGCACTGCGCACGCACGCCGGCACTGCGAACAAAATAAATGCATTTGAAATGCACATTAGCATATGTCAAGTGTGAATTAAACTACTCAGAGCGTACAGTGGCACTTGGTCGCCACTACCGTCCCCAGGCACGACAGGCAACCATCTACAAAGCCGGCAGTATCCAGAAGCATTGCCCACTTAGCCAAACGTATTAAAAACACACTCAAATACTCAAACGCCTGGGATGCTGCTGTCGGCTGCCCGTGGGGTGAATTGCTAATTACGTGGCTAGAATTTTCATTATGTGGCCTCGCCCACACGCCCCCTCACACACACACACACACACGCACACACACATACACCAATAGACAAACTACCACTGCCACTCGAATGCAGCGTAATGAAATCTTTGCAGCGCTTAGGGTCGCTCGGCATAGGAAAACTTTAGCAGAGCAGGAGAGACGAGAACCAACGTCGTCTACTCGTAATGTGAGCGCAAAATTTATTAGAAAATATTTACAGTGCACTTCAAAAATGGCCTGCGCCTCAGAGTGCACCATGATATTAAAGTGCAAGCAACTGCAATGGGCGGCTGAGAGTTACAGTGAAAATCAATTAAGGGTAATTGAGTATTAAATGTTATTTTCCACATGTATTTATGCATATACAGATTTATTTATAAATGTCAGATGAAGAAATCAATTAATAGAAACTGTACAATCACTTACGATCTACAAGTATTATAAGTCATTGAATCATCTGCTTGTGTAAATTCAATCAATCAAGTACTTTTTAAAATGTACTACTATATAATTATACGAATAACTTTTCGTTTGATTTAACTGTGATTAATTGAGAAACCAAATCGTTAGATCGACAAATTATTTTCAGTTGCCAGTCCACTTATGGGCGATAAATTCTACGGTTTTAGTCAATTGTTTCTCAGGTGCTAATGTTTCTTCCAGGAGCATAAAATATATATTATATATGTATAGATTATAAAAATGTCAAATAATGTTATTGCACATAGGAGAAAAAAAGAGTTGTCTTAATTGTAGTTTTTGTGTTTGGTTTCTTAATATGTCGATAGAAAATACAAGTTGTGGGAGAAAAAATACATATTAAAAAATTTATAGTTCCTATGAAGAAAACAAAGAGTTGTTTTAATTTTAATTGGTTATACACAGCATAAACCAATATTTTTTTGATGTTCCGAATATAAAATACATACATCTTTTGCACGCCTTAGAGATGATTTCAATATATAAATTAGTTTGTGAAATAGCGGAATCATTTCTTATAGGGCTTGAATAAGCCCTTAAAATGGGGAACCTGATCTGAAGATATTTCGATTTATTAGTTTATACTTACATGGCTGTTAGTAATAATTTTAAAAATTCGGATTTTTTGTACATATTATATATATTTTTTATATTTCAACAACCACTATATTTACTTCAAATATCTTTTGTTATCTATATATTGAATCATAGAAGAACAAACCTTTAGCAGTTTGTCTTCGTAAAAAGGGTTCTGTCTATTTTGAAAAAAATATTCTAGTAGATTTATAAAATTTCTTTTTATTTATTAAATCTTTGGATTACGTTTAAGTTGATCATATTCCTGGTTTCCTATTTGTAACTTACAGTGTTTTGGTGTGCAGGTGGCCTTGCAACCAAGCGGGCCACAGAATTTTTCTAGATCTATTAAAGAGTTAGGAGGTGGAGTCACAACGACTTCATTGAGTGATCCCATTATAAATGCTAGCGTATCCTTTAATATATTAAAATTAATGTTTTCCATTTCAGACAACTCAACAAGTTCTTCATATGAAATGTTCATGAGTGCTTCATATAGTTGCCGGCAAATTCCCGCAAGTGTGTTCTTGTCTACCGCTGGCAATTTAGGATCTGGATTCGTAATGGCTGGATCGCTAACTTGACCGTTGCCTTGGTTGTTGCCTGGATTTGAGCCAGGGTTGGAGCCTGGATTGGAGCCCGGATTGGAGCCTGGTTTGGAGCCTGGATTGGAGCCTGAATTGGAGCCTGGTTTGGAGGCTGGATTGTTGCTCTGATTGTTGCCTTGACTGTTGCCTGGCTTGTTGCCTTGATTGTTACCTTGATTGTTGCCTTGATTGTTGCCTGGCTTTTTGCCTTGATTGTTACCTTGATTGTTGCCTGGATTGGTGCCTGTATTGTTCACTGGATTGCTGCCTTGGGGAGTTGTTTGATTTTTTTTCGGTGGAGGGACTTTATTTGGCTTTAAAATATTCCATATCCCTGATTGTATTTTAATTTGGTTAACATTTGTGTTTGTGTTCATGCCGCTAATCTGGCTTTTATTTTTCGGCGGCATGAAAAGGTTGACATTTCCAGTCCGGACTTGATAAACTTCTAATGCGTTCACCAGGGCTTTCTTTAATTTGATAATCTTGGTTGCCGTTCCATTCTTAATCTTTGCCTCAGTAAGTTGTCCATGAAAAAACGCTTCGTGAGTAAGGCAATTCATATTTAAGAACTTGAAAATATTTTCCATAGTGTTGATTTTTTTCAAAACTTACCTAGCACATAAAATAATATCAGATACATTATTAAGGCTTTTGCAGTTTGTGTGTTGTGAACTGGGTTTTTATACCCAAAGAAATCAAATTTGTTACGGTATTTGGTAAGATTTACATAAGATTCGAGACTAACGTGCATCTAAGCCCGTATAATGTTTTTCTTGATTAAATTTTTTATTACACAATATTTAGTATGTTATGAAGTTTTGAACTGGAACAGTTCTATTGCAATTTAATATATTCGCAAATGCATTTCTAATTTTATAATTATAGTTCATTTAGAAATGAATTTTTAGTTATCCAATGCATTAAATCTTCTGCACTAAATAATTCAGTACGAAACGATAATGAAAATAAAATTCATGGAATTTTATAAAAGAACTTTATAAATTTGTTATTCTTTGATGTTTTTGCCAAACTTTTGTTATAATTGAGCAAAACGAATTGAGAAGTCCTGGTTGTACGACATAAAGCTGGCAGCTCAAAATATTAGTATTCAAACGAAAATAAATAAATTAGTATATGCAGGGCAAAAAAAAAAAAAACAAATATAAGGCAGTAAATTTGGTAATAAGCGTGTATTACTAATGCGCTCAAGAAAATATTTGAAAAAATCGAATTTGTGTTTTTTAATTTTTAATAAAGAAAAACGAAATCGATATCAGATCATATACATATTTGAGAACACTTTTGAGAATGTGAGCCGTGGAAGACTCTAAAATTGTTCCAAATATAGAAGTTTTTAATGGTTCCCAAGCAGGGTGATACGATTGTATGAACTGAAAGATCACATATTTGTTTTGATTTTACATTCATTTCAGTTTTTCTTTGAATAATTCTTCAACCACTGACCCAGAATGGATCCGCGTTCTTGAGGGAGCTAATTTATTTATATTAAAATAATAATATTTGTATATATGAGCTCTAACATTTCTAATGATTCATTGCAGCTCTGCGACTTTTCTTATAATACTTGTATAATACCTGGATAATCAAATCCTTAAAGCAAATGTGTTGTTGATGAAGTTGGCAAATGTTCTTAAAGCCTGCTCGACACAGTCCTTTTTTCTTGGAATCCTTTATTGAGTCTTTTAAGTAATTGCATTTTAAGAAGAACTCAACCATTTATTTCGGTTAGTTCAATTAAGGAGTTTTAACTGTACATTCTATTTTTCTTTTTAAAGTGCAATCCGAATTAAAGCGTAAAAGGGGAAAAGCAAAAAATGTAAATTTGCAGTTTTGTAGCAGCTTTGACAATACACTTTTAACCGCCTGACATTTTAGCCAATCGCTTTATGTGTGAGTATGTTGTGTTGGTGTTTGTGTTGGTGTTTGTGTTTGTGTTTCTGTTTGTGTGAGTTTGTTGGCGTTGGTAAACATTAGTGGTTACTTGTTGTTGTTGTTGTTGCTGTTGCTGCACGGTTTGCTGGCTTTTGCGGCTTTTAGGCAACTTATTTGTTTTGTGACACTATCGTCGTTCTTATCGCCCGTCGCATGCCCCATAACTGTTCGCCGACTCCCCCGAGAGCCGGCTTTGACACACGACCAGCCCATGGAGGTCCCCAGAGAGGCCACCTGCCCATTGGTGGCGTTGCATTTTGGTTATTGTTGTCCATTGTTTGTCACATTGCAGGTGTTTTTCGAGCCACCTCAATTGTTTGTGGTTCCTTTTTGCTTTTATTTATTTATTTGTATTCCTTTTTTGCCAGTTCAACTTGTTTCAATTTATTTTATGGTCACTTTTGGGGTTTTGCATTTTCTGCCCATTGCAAAAGTTTCTTAATGAGCCCCACACAGTTTATATGGTCGGCTTAGTTTTCGGAATTCCGCAATATACCTAAACAAATGGCACTGGCTGGTTTTTCAAATAGTAGTGATGGCAGGAATGCCATATAAGCATATTTTCCTTTTTATTGTTTCCTATTTACAACTTGATTGTTGATTGTTAGGCGCTGAACAAATGTCTATTCATATTTGAAAACTTTGTCGCTTTCAGGCATCTCTTCATAATCTGAAGCCTTATCAAACAATTTACTGGCACAACAAAATTTATTGTAGTTGAAAGGCTGTAGCGGACGAAATAATAATATTCAAGAGTTGGGCTGCCACGACCTTAACGATCTACTCGTTAATTTCAAGTATTTTTTAATGCGTACATTAAAATTGTTTACATTTTTGTTAGCTCTAATAGCTCAGACCACAATGTATTGTGAATCGAAGTATGCGTAGCTCCCCGGAGAGCAAATCAAAATCCCCCAACTAGTTCTAGCTGCATTACTGAGCTCAATATTTTGGAAAACCAATTACCTATTAGTGCAGTGCTGCCCAAATGCTTTGAGCTCCTGTTGTGTCAGTTATGGCCTCTAAGATAAAGCCGCGAAGACATCAACATTAGGCTATAATTAGACGCTTACGCAACATTTACCCTGATGCACTTTGGTCGGTGTCAGAGCACATGACTGCTCCCCTTGGACATCTGGCCCCTGGCTTGTCACTAATTGCCCCAGTTGTGGCGCCACAGAGTGCAAGTAATGATTATGACCAGGCTGAGGCTAACAAGCACAAAGCACGAGAGTCTGGGGCTGACATTGCAAGTGCCAATTAGCAAGAAAATAGATTGTAAATTTTAATGACATACAGCCAAGAAGTGGCACCCATAGTTGTGTCTATGTGTTTCCGGTCTTGTACCCAGTTTTTCCATCTCCATTTTTTTTCCTTTTTTGTTTTTGTTGGGGCATGTTTCCTGCAGGACTCACAAAAGAAACACTTTGTGAAACGCCTTGCAAGTTAAAAGGCGAGTGTTGGGCAAATGTTCACTTACTGCATCATTGAATTTAAAATACAGCAAGGCATTTGGCCAAGTGTCAATGTGGGTGTGTGTATGAGTGTGTATGTGTGTGTCCACTTCAATTAAAAAGACTTTCACCCGTAGCAAAAAGAAGTAAAAACACTTCCGTTTTACTTTACTTTTGTGCTCTTTGGTAAACGTTTTGCAATTGCTTTGAAATTGCGCAGACGTGCAGCCTGGCAACAACAAAAAAAAATTGTCTACCTCAATGACAGGAGGCAATGGCGGCAATGCCGTCAACGACGATGATGACGGTGACGATGACGATGACGATGACGACGACTACGACGGCCATTGCAGCACAACATGACTTCCGTTTCCGCACACACACACACACGAGCGCGCGCTCAAGTGAAATCAATTCAAAGCCTTGCTGTTCCTCTACTCAATTGCTTTTTGGTCATCGTCAGCTGCAACCGCACTCGTACCCTCGTCAATACCCTCACCATCACCACCACCATCATCATCATCAGCATTGTAGTTGCCTCATCATCAACGCCGTCGCGTAGTTTTGACAGACACTTCCAACATTTTTTCTCGCCAAAATAAAGGGCGCACATTTCTTAACACAAATGCTGAAATGCTTCCAATTCTTTGCCATTGCCAGTCGGTTTAACCCATTGATATTTTTCTAGGCTAATCTATTTGTATGTATGTTTCTCTTTTTTGCTTTATTTATTTTTAATATAAATAAATAAATAAGAATAGAGATCCGATTTTTTAGCCATTGTTTATCTTTAAGAAAAGCTTCCTTATATTGATTTTTATGATTATTTTTACCTTATTTTTATTAATTTTCGAAGAATTTTACAAATTCTGAGAATTTTACAAAGAACTCAGTGAAAAATATACTGAATTCAACAATTTACCCTTTTGTTGAGTAACATCGAATAGCGTACTTCTATATTTAAAATTCGATAATGACGTATAAAAGAAAGTGTGTTGCAGAGAACCTAGTAGCAGACTGATTGAGGAAAGGAGCAATAAAAAAGACATTAAGAAATATACACTTCTTGAAAAACTAACTTGAGATCAACTCTCTCTTCCCCATTAGCGGTAGTTGAAACTAATAACTAATTAAATTTAACTGTAATTCAAAGAAACATAATTATTTTAAAAATAAAAATATATCTATATATATTATAATATTAAAGAAAAAGAATGTTTGCTTGAAATTAAACCTTAAAGCAAATATAAAACCAATTAGTTATATTTTGTTCCAATCGAATTTAACGATTCAAAACAATATTTTTAAATACTAATTGGAAAGTAAACAAAACTATGAACAACAGTAAAAAGTATAGATATTAAATCATTGTTAAATAAATTCAGATATACTCTTTGGATTCCACTTATTGTACTGAAACCCAAGCGAATGAATATCATTTCCTATACGTTTAATCGAATCCTTTCAGGCATTGTTACCCAAAAAAATAAATTTTCTTTTTAAAATGAACTTTATTTTCCTCAAAAATTATTTACCTAAGTCAATTCGATATAGAAACCTCTAAGAACATTTCAAAATTATTACATTCTTTATATCAGACAGAAGGCAAAAGCCCTCCAAAAACATTAACGGACTTAATGGGTTAAGTTTCAGGGTCTTGCCTTCCAACTTGCTTTGGCTTTGTGCTGGCCAGTTTAATAGGCTTTTAGCTGAAATCCCTAAAAGACTCGCACTCGACTGGCCTTAAATTGATAAGATTTAAGATTGTGCTGTAAAATCAAAGCTCTTTATTTAATTGCCACTCGCATTACTTCAAACTTAAGGCATAAAATTTATAATTAGAGCATTACTTTTGGCTCCGTTTGTTGTCCGTTAGACATGAGAGTCGAAATGCAAATGCAAAACTGCAATGAAATGCACAGTTACAAGCAATAACGTTCAAGCCGGGCAATAACAACAAAGCTCCACTGCCACCCGCACCCACACCAAACAAGTCATTCATTCGCTCCGCCAACAAAGTCAGGCCCGGGGCGGCATGTGTGGCTACAACCACAGTACGGCATTGTTGTTATTGTTGTTGTTACAATCGTGCAGGCAACCGGCAGTCCAATAGTCTGAAGCAGCAGCCACACTGGCGATAAAATAAATTTGCATATGAATTGAGAATTAAGAACATTTTGCACATCGTGCACAGCTCCCTGTTTCCAGGCCACCACACACACTCTACTCGTACCCTCTCTCTATGGCTTTGCTATTTTCTGATTGGTTTGGTCAACGCGGAGTGAGTCGCTGGATCTGCATTGACGTTGTGGCTGCTGTTTGGCCTTTGAATTAGACGGTCACACACACAATCACACACACTACAACAACAGAGAAGTGTGAGTGGCTTTTTTCCTTCTTGTTGACATTTTTTTTCTTTTGCCTTTGTCCCCTTTTTGTTTGTAAATTTTGATGTTAGTGATAAAAAAAATATCAACTCGTTACGCTATTGAAATTGAAAATGTTGTCATAATGTTTCAATGAAAGTGGGTGGATTTGCTGAACAACATTTTGAAACTTTCTTGGCCATACAAAGTTATGGGTCAACTGATTTTGGCTTTCGAAGTTACTTTGTCATACGCATTTGAAAAACTTTGTTATGTCACAAGAGTAGATCACAGTTTCAGAATAGTGTAGTAAAAATAAAAAAAAAATGAAAGTGTTATTATGTTATAAAACGGCACCTGCAAAATACAATTTCTGTCAACCACAACGAATGGGTTGTCTTACAATGATATATTAAGATATACATTCATAACCTTTTTATTCCCATGCCGTGAAATCATCAAAATAATAATGCGCCTATTCTAGTAAATAGTACAAGTTTGCTTTAACGTACATAAAGAACCAAAGTGTTTGGTTAGATCAGGAATAAAAATATTCCCGTATATATGCCAATCTATCGAATTATCCTGAAGCTCGCATTCAATAAATTATTTTTCCACGTTTTATGCCTCTCTTCCAAACCGGAAGAGCAGAAAGTTGTTTTTCCAAGTTTTATGCCTCTCTTCCAAACCGGTTGAGCAAAAAGTTGATTCTACACACAATTTAACGAATTTTCTTTTAATATAAAATACTGCCATTCCCACAAAATAAAGTAAGTTTTATGTTAAAAATAATAAGCATTCTCGAAATGTTCCTTTTTTGGTAAAAGTATCCCATTTAAAAACTCGATTTTATTTTATTTATTAATAACTTTTTTTATGTACTTAAAGCATAAGCAATAAGTCTTCCTTCCGATTGTATTATGACAAATCAATAAATTGTTACTTTTAAAGAAATTAAGTCTCTAGCGTCTTTGGTTTGAGAGCAATGGGCGATATAAAACAGACTTAAACGGTGCCTTATTTAAGTGGCTAGCAGTGTACATATACTAAAATAAACGAAAAAATTAACATATTATATAAAAGTGTTTTTTTAACCGATATAAAACACTTATCATAAGTAGTACATGAAGCATTTTGACTTTTTAGTACACAATTAAACATTTTTCGGACAAGCTGAGAAGCGCATTTGAATTTTACTGGCTGTGGTGTCTGCTTCATCTGGGTTATAAAAGCAAGTTGTTGTCTAAAAATTTTAAAAGGACCCGAAAAAGGCTGTACGGTTCGCACTTTTCTGCATTTAGTTGATAAACCATTACTTTTATAGGTTGGTTTGAGAACGGTCTACGATGCACATATAAATACATTAGACTTGTTTAATAAGCTATGCGATATATAAGTCCAATACGTGTTTGTAAAGTTATAGAACACCACCACGTTTTAAATTTGGATAAAAAAAATGCAACTTAAAGAATAAACCTCATTTTGGAAGCTTTTGCTTAAATATAATGATTATTGGTTGAGTTGTAAGTTATAGCTCAAAATTGTGTGCAAAAAAAAATAAAATGTTAAAAAAAACCATTGTAATTTTTATAATAATACTTATAATGATTATAGTCCCTGATAAAAACTTTTCACGTGCAACGCCGCTGAACTGTACTTGTAGTACTACTCGTAATTGTTTATTATTAATTTCTCACTGCTTGAACAATTTGTTACTCTGTATATATTCACATACTAGATTAATTCAGCCATTTATTTCCTCTTTATTCAGAATACCATTACCAGATCTATATATAGTAGATCTATAATTGCTAGCTTCATAACACCTCCCCGCCTCCCTGTGATGTAATAATATATAGTACAGAGGAACAATCCAAACTTTTAAGAACACACTGAGGATACCCTACAGTACATTTTTTTATTTTAACCATAAATTAAAAGATGCCTTCAAATTTGTGTCCAGATTATTTAGCTCTGAAATAACTGTGTCAGTTGAGGTTGCACCCTAACATTTTAGTATTAAAAAAGTTTCGAACATCATCTATCAATACCTAATAAGTATTTCAAAAGAAAGCCGGAACATAACATATCATAAATTTATTAAAATTTGCTACACTATTAATCCATTACTCTATATTTGAATTTGATTTCAGTAGTCAAGGATTTTTCCATTTGTTGCATATGCTTGAGCTGCCTTTCATCTTTTAATAACTAGTTTAAAATAATTGCTTATAACCGGTAATATCAGCGTTTTAGCATAAATATGAGATTACAACAAGAAAGGAATACTAAAGTCGAGGGGGCTCAACTCTTAAATACCCTGTACCACCACAAAAAAAAATAAATAAATAATAATAATAATAATAGATTTTAAAAATTTAATTAATTTTATTTATCTATTCTTTTTAGTTAAATATAAAATATTCTACACTTGCATACAGACATTAGTGTTTATAATTTCAACAGCATACATTTAGATCAGAATCGTGTCTATGCGTGCTTGCATGCAGTAAAGAAATAAGTCAAAGCAGCAACAAAAACAACTGCTGCCGGCAGAGCTTGGGCAGAGCTTCGCCAGAGATTATGTTTATGGCTATAACTTTCTTCATAATTGAGCTGTCATAATGACTCATAGTCGCAAACTGCTGATATTAACCCCAATCTGAGGGGAGTGTATCAGAAAAAATAAACAAACTTGAGAACCTGAACACCAAATTTGGTTATTCTAGCCCTTGTACTTGCTAAGATCCTATATACTTTGTGAGGTCTGCCACGCCTCCTTCTGTGTGTTACAAACATTCGAACAAAACTAGTATACCCTTTCACCCTTTGGGTAGAGGGTATAAAAAGATTAAGTAGTTGCTAGCTAGTTGTATCAGAATTTTCTATAAAAGCACGCTGTGTTAGACAATTAGTAATCATAAGAAATGTGGGATCAAACAATATAAATCTCTATTAATTGTATCCACAACTTGCTATAGAAAGCTTTTGCTGAAAATGTTAGCACTTCTGGCGCTATTTTTATGGATCTATGTTTTGTGGACTAGACGCAGATCTTATTTGTTAACGCTCAAAATTCCTGGACCACTTGGATATCCCATACTTGGAATAATTCCCAAAATTTATCGCCGAGAAGGTATTTTACGTATTGGAAGAATGGAGTTCGGTTTGTTACACTATTTCTGCATCTGTAATTTGTGTACAGATTGTCTAAATGATATTGGAAAACTAATAGAGATATATGGCCCGAATATGCTCACATGGCTTGGGCCAGTTCCGTATTTAGTTGTGACCGATCCACAAACTACACAGGATATACTGACATCACCACATTGTGTGAATAAAGCTACTATATACAATGTTTTCGAGGATAATGCTGGTATTGGACTCATCAATCTAAAAGGTGCCACAGTATTTACATCTCGTAAGTTGAAGTCAAATGTATATGATTTTTTTTAGATAAGCAATGGAGCACGCATCGAAAATTATTAAATCCAATAGTTGGATTCGAAATGCTGCAAGGCTTTCAAAGTGTTTTCAATAGGGAAACAGACGGGCTTTTGGAAAAGCTTGATAAGCTCGTTAACGATGGTGAGAAGGACTTGAGTCTTTTAGTGCAAATGTTCACTTTGGATATGGGAATTGGTAAGTAACATACTTTGGGGGTATTTATTTGTTAATATCATATTCTCCAATTATATTCAAATACAGAGAATATTATGTGTGTCGGTACGAATGAAAAGAAGGACTATGACAGTAAAATTATGGTACAACATTTGATACGGTATGTATGAGAAATTCGAGTTCATCTAAATCTAAATCTAAACTGCTATGCCGAAACAGCATAAGTCAAACTTCAACAGATATGGCACTTTGCCCCTGGCTAAGGAACAGAACAATCAGACAAATTTTAGGAAAGGAAAAGCGCTATGCGGATGCCAAATCTGGATTACGAGAATTTCTTAAGAAGGTGAAGGTTTTCAACGCAGCAATTCATTTCTAAATTTCAAATCTTATCTTATCTTATATCTTATTATTTGGTGCCTGACAAACCGTCAGTTACTTTTTGGTAAACTAATTGAATATTTCTTCTGTAGATGATTAAGCAAAAACTGGATAAGGATAATGCAGCTAATCAACCTTCTGCAGTAACAGAAAGCAACAAATATATAAATCTTTCCACCGATCTTCTGAAACGTGGCATATTCAGTTCTAAAAATGTTGAGGATGAGGCATTCATTATTTTGTTTGCAATATTTGATACCAGCGCGAATTCTTTGATATACACACTTATGTTGCTTGCCATGTTCCCTGTATGCCAGGAGAAGGTATTTCAGGAGTTAAAGTCCCTTTTTCCCGAAAACGGTGTCTTTGAGGTTACATTCGCCAGCACACATGAAATGGTCTATTTGGATATGGTGATGAACGAGTGTTTTCGATTATTTTCACCGGCGCCTATTGTTTTTAGAGAGGCATCGCAGGATATTCGGCTTTCCAATGGCGTTATAATTCCGAAAGGACTGCAAATAGCCATCGACATTTTTCACATGCAACGCAGCAAAACTATTTGGGGTCCAGATGCAGAAACGTTCAATCCTGATCACTTCTTGCCCGCCAATATGCAGGATATACATCCTTACGCTTTTATACCATTTACAAAAGGCATAAGATATTGTCTAGGTATGGAATCGTAAATTGTTTGCTTATCATCATGATTCTTCGTTCTTAAAAATCCCAATTACAGGAACTAAATATGCAATGACGTCGCTGAAAGTGACATTGGCTAAAATCCTAAGGAAGTACAAATTTAGCACAAGCATGAAGTTTGAGGATCTACATTATACTGAACAGATTACTTTGGGACTTAAAACTACGCCACTTTTTGAACTACAAAGAAGATACTAATGCGACCAAGCAATCCAAATGAAAATTTTGTAAATATTGCAAATAATTTTGAAAGCGTACAAAATATATTGAGGTTACATGAATCAAACATATACTTGTAAATATAAGAGCTCGGAAAATTTCGTACCTCTTCGGAATCAATAAATGTTGTGTTAACGTATTAGCTGAACTATTAGGATATTTTTATTTAAATAAAATAAATACTAAACTAAAAAGTAAAATTATCCAATTATCCAATTATTAACCAATTGAAGGAGAAACATTTATATTCTAGGTTCAGGCCACAAACACTCAAGAATTGGCTTTGACATGGCCAATGCAAGTCGATTCGGAAATCTTATCTTAAGCTCAAATCAATTGGGATCAACGGAATTCTCCAAAACACTACAAGTATTGCATATAATTATAAAACTGCATCAGCCGGCACTAAAATAAGTACTCATATCAATCGTAGTTAACGAGAATAAATATAAATTGTTGTGCTACAAATCTACATTTGAAGAATGTCTTATCCTTGTTAATACATACCCGTATATTCTACAAGTATATGAGGTGCGTGCCTTTATCAAGAAGGTAATAAGCTATGGTCAAACCAGCAAATACAAGTATCTCCCAAATTTCAAAGCTAATGAGCAACTGTTTGCCTGCCCAACCGTAGCTTCATTTTCTTTTTATGGTAAACTAACTGAATATTTTGTCTACGGATGAGAAATCTTAAACTGGATTTAGATAATGCTAGCTACAATCAACCTTCTGCAGTACCAGAAAGAAAACAAATATATAAATCTTTCCATTGATCTTCTGAAACGTGGCATATGCAGTTTTAAAAATGTTGAGGTTTAAAAATGTTGTTTGTTTGCAATATTTACACTCTTTTCTCTTTTGAATTAAAAATTGGAAATTAAAATAGATGCTCTGGGAGTTATTTCAAAGTTCTTATGAAATAGCACATATTGAAGAAACTAATCTAAATTGTGAATTAGCCATCTATATTTTTGCATTTTTTTTTTTTTTTTTGATCTGTTTCTGTTCCCTCAGCTCGTAAATAAGTTATGCAGCAGTGATTGGAATCCAGTCAGGGGCTAAGTTATAAAAATTTGAAAAAAGGAACAAATGTAAGAGCCCACTGTTATTCTTGCAGGAAAACTGCAGGTTATCTCCATAGTCCTTTAATTTAGTCCCCAAAAGGGCACCACCGCAGTGAAACAGTTGGCTCTAGCAGTGATTAAGTGGAACTATCGCCTAGTGGAGCATATTGCTGGAGGGACAGTAGAAAGAGGGTAGAGGTCGGGGTATTGCAGTTACTGGCTGCTTGACCAATGGTCATTTTTCTCCTTTTCCTGTCACTTTAAGTTGGCAATTAAATATATGCATGTATAGCATTTGAAGTTTCTTCTTTTTTTTTCGCCCGTAAATCTCAAATAAATTGTTGTAATAGAAAAGAGGCAGCAAAAAAAAAAATGCAACAGCTGTTTTCACCGCTACGAAATGAAGTCGTCGTTGACATCGCCAGTTGCCAGTTTCCAGTTGCCAGTCGCCAGCGGAACATGCAAACCAGTAGCCAGTTACCAGTTAGCATTTCCCATTCCCCGTAGTGTGCACTTTTTGAAAATTTATTTTCACACTCGACGCGGCACAAAGGACAACTTTCCGAGCACTTGGCAATGAGGACGGCAGATGGCCAGCCCAAGTACGTACTGAACAGGATAGAAAGAGGGCCAGGATGAGGACGAGGACGTGCCGGCTGCTCTGAGCGCTGCGTGTCTATGCCGCAGCCAAGATGTTGCCCCTCGGTTGTGTCTGCACTTTAATGGCTTCATATTTCCTGCAAAATTAGAGAAGTTACTTTTGCTTACATTTCAGTTGGCCAGCATGTTGTTAGTTGTTAGTGTCTTTCTCCCTTTGTCTTTGTTTTCGTTGCCACTGTTGTTGCAAGTTTCTTGCGCTGCTCATTATGTGCCACAGAAGCCAACCAGCCAACCAGCCCGCCCACTTTGTCTACTCCATTAAATTGTAATTTTTGGCAACATTTTGGTTTGCATAAATCTTTTGTTGGGCGACCGTTGTTGTTTTGTTCCCCAGTGTCCTTGTATTGCTACAAGTTTCTGTACACACACTCGTACATACAAGTACATACCTACTCCACACACTTCGTCATGTTTCAAGTTTATTAAAAAGTGCTCAGCATATTATGCTTACTTAAACTATTAAAATAACAATGGTGTATAGTAGCACGAGTATGTGCCCTGTCTGTCTGTCATTGTCTGTCTGGTATGTGGCTTTGGACCCAGGAGAGCTTTGAGCGAAATGCAATAATGTCACTGCCTGATACGCAAATAATGCTGGATAAATAATTTAAATGCCAGTGGACGTGTGCAGCGATCTCAAACAAACCGGTTGATGCACACTTATTGTTTCATAATAACTTTAACTTACCTTTAATTCATTCACATGAATGTTAATTGGCAACTACTTGTATTAAGACAAAATTACAATTGCTGTAATAGTTGTACGGCATATAAGGCATTATAATTGAAATTGGCCATTTATTTACTTTTTTCAATTAACTAGTGTTATGTAACCCCATAAAGTATATATATTCTTGATCAGCATGACGAGAGAAATCGATCTAGACATGTCCGTCCGTCTGTCCGTCTGTCCGTCTGTCCGTCCGTCTGTCCGTCTGTCCGTCTGGATGAACGCGAGGATCTCAGAAACTATAAAAGCTAGAATAACCAAAGTTGGCATCCAGATTCTCCTAGGTCCGAGTAAGGACGAGTTTATGTTTTTTTTTTTAATTTTCCCCCCCTTCCCCCGCTACAGAATTTCGTCAATAGCGTCCACATTTCAAATGCCACCTAAACCAAATTTTGCACACATAATTAATATATAATTGTCTACTGTTGTATGAAATTTTATTCAATTCGGTCAATTCTAAGAAAAGTTATTAGCAAAACAAATTCTCGCCAGTACAACCCCCCCAAACTGCAGCAACAAGTTCGCTCTTCTTCTTCCTCTTTTTGCTGCTGCTATGGGCGCATATAACTCAGTGACGGAAGTTTACCTGGGTACAGGGTATTACACTGTCGGGCTTGCTCGACTGTAGCGTTCTCTCTTGTTATACCCTGTACCCGTAGGGTAAAAAGGGTATATTAGGTTTGTGCAAAGTATGTAACATACAGAAGGAAGCATCTCCGACCCCATAAAGTATATATATTCTTGATCAGCATGACGAGAGAAATCGATCTAGACATGTCCGTCCGTCTGTCCGTCCGTCTGTCCGTCTGTCCGTCCGTCTGTCCGTCTGGATGAACGCGAGGATCTCAGAACTATAAAAGCTAGAATAACCAAAGTTGGCATCCAGATTCTCCTGGGTCCGAGTAAGGACGAGTTTATTTTATTTTTTTTAATTTCCCCCCCCTTCCCCCGCTACAGAATTTCGTCAATAGCGTCCACATTTCAAATGCTACCTAAACCAAACTTTGCACACATAATTCATATATAATTGTCTACTGTTGTTCAAAATTTTATTCAATTCGGTCAATTCTAAGAAAAGTTATTAGCGAAACAAATTCTCGCCAGTACAACCCCCACAAACTGCAGCAACAAGTTCGCTCTTCTTCTTCCTCTTTTTGCTGCTGCTATGGGCGCATATAACTCAGTGACGGAAGTTTACCTGGGTACAGGGTATTACACTGTCGGGCTTGCTCGACTGTAGCGTTCTCTCTTGTTTTTTTTTTTTTAATTAAATCAAAAATCTTCGATATTTAAAAAGTATAGTAATTTTTCTTAAAACTTTTTAAAACGACAGTTTAAATTCAGTTAATAAATTTTTGAGGAGATTATAAGAAACTTAAAAAAAAATTAAAATACTATAATTCTTACATATACGTAAATAACTAAGAAAGTCGCGAAAGTTAAGAAATCACGTTCAAAAGAGAAAAAATATGATAGGTAAAAGATTCAATGATATTTTATTATTTTGAAAATATAATAAATTTAATAACTTGAAAAGCAATCATTTTTTAATAATAATTTTAGCACACAGTAGTATATATTATAAATTAAATATATTAAATATATTTAGAAACCCATGCCACTAACTGCACCAGCTATTGTGTCTCGATAAGTGGCAGTTTAAAATGCTTTTATATATTGTTTTATTTTCATTATTTATAAGTAATTGACAATATAATTCATTCCTGTCGTTACTACAGCGTCCTTTACAGCAGTTAAAATTGAGTTAATTTTAATTTCCGTTGATTAACTGCACACATCCCTCCAGACAAGGACTGAATCGGTTTGTGCAAAAACTTCGAGACACCTTAGGTTGATTGCTTTCGGACAACACCTTCCAAATCATATCACTAACATAATAATAAACCTTAGTAATCCCAGTTGGTTAAAAGTGGACCAATAAAACCAAGAGGATTAAATGGGAACCATCGCTACAACCATCTCAACTCAAACTAAATTAAATGCTCTGTGCATATAATGATTATTAAGAGTACCTCCCGAATCCGAATAGCAACCAAAAATTAAAATAATTTATAAGCCAAATAGCGTTCTAATATTATTTGCGATTTGTTTATGTGAAACAAAGAACAAATTAGAATTTATTCACTAGAACGTCGCGTTTTTGCCACGGGTGCAACATTTTCGAAAATTGCTCCAAATGGCTTTTTAAGCACCGCAAATTGTTAATTCAAATGCGAGGCGCGTACTGCCAATAATGTCGTACAATCTACGATTTTATTTTGTGTAGTTTTTTTCAGCAACAATCTAACACAATTTGTTTTGTCCATTTGGCCTTTTGTCGTGCGCTGAGTCCATATACCTAAGTAGTTTGTACCAACATAGATATTTATTTTTATGGTCTTGGGTGTTCCAAATTTCGGAAATTAAATGAAACGTAAAAAAGCAAATTGCCGACCGTCTTGAAAGTGTAGCAGCCCCAAAAACAAAATTTACATAAAACAAAAAACAACAGGTGTTAAACAGGATATTAAATTCTATTGCAGGGGTTTTTTCTCTATACCCTTTACTTTAACTCAGATATCTATGTGGGTATGTGGTTTGTGGAATAGAAGGTTGTTACACATAGAGGAAACCATACATTCAAATGAGGTCTACAATCAGTACAATCAGCAGATCGATAAACTATAAATTGCTAGTAAATATATTGGATGCAATATAATTACATATTGTTGCTGTCATTATTATAAATATAAATGCAGTAAATAGTAACAAATACGGGGATTACAATGAACTACAATTTTATTTCATATATCATGCGATTAAATTTGTTAAAAATCCATTATGGCTTAATTTAACGGTTTTCACAAAATGCATGTTCGCCTTGATTTCTTTATTACAAGTATTGCTTAACAAAATGGCATTAGTACTAAGATAAGACTGTTTTCCTTCCATACGATATCTCCACAGCTCCATTGCATTTTATTATGTTGAGTGCAGGGTATTTACAGAGCGGCTCGACCGATGAAAACTTTTTGAATTTTTTTATTACGCTGCGAAGTTTGTTCATTTTTTCTGGACCAAAACTATTGCGTGGCGCATAGAATTTTTCTTAACTGGATCATTATAATGCTGTGCACATGTTTTTGTTTTTTGCCACCGAAAACGTTTTAGCCATTTGCATATAAACGCTGATAATTAAATTTGTTTGTGTTATGTTCGATAAATAAAAAATTATTTGCTAACCTTTTAGTTAGATAATGTAAATGTGAACAATTTTAGGGAGTGGCTGCCAAAGTTGGGAATTTTTAATTCATTTTTTTAAAAGTGCATTGTTCATAAAATCTCACCCTGGCTTTTATTACTTTCTTAAATAACATGGAAAACTTAGTTTCTTAGCTTATCTTTAAGCTATTTTGAAATACTTGAACATAAAATTATTTGTTATTAAACGCGCAATTGATTATGTTTGGTATTTCGATTTTTTAGGTCTATGTTTTTAAGAGACATGGGAAAGGAGTTTACAGTTTTGGCGTAGTCTTTCACTGCCTTATATGTTGCTTGTCATAGAGATTAAGGTCTCAATATTTTTAGGGTAAATAATTGCTGCAGCCTGTTGAACGAATGCCGGTACTTTTTTAATTCATTAAGCGTTTTGAATGTGAAACACATGTACAAGTATTATATGTTTGTTGTGGCATTGTATGTATGTACCTTTAGTATAGGTATAGATACCTGCCAAAATTTAATGCAAAGTTAAGCTATGGTGCACACCTTTATAATCGTATGTGTATGTATTTCCATCCGCCAAAAGTTCTTTCATTAGACATGCACGACACTAAGGCTTTCTAATCCCGAATTATGGTTGGACATGCAGAGAATACCGCAACGACGTGTCGTTGATGGCGGGCAAATTTATGAATAATTGCCAATGGCCAAAAATTCATTACATGCATGCGAAATGAGTTTTTGTAAATTGGGAAATTTTCGTAATTTGTATGTGACGTCATTTATATACCCTCCACTCGAAGAGTGCAAGCGTATACTAGAAAGTCAAAACGCTAAGTGAAGGCGTGTCCATGTCCGTTCGTTCGTCTCTTTATTTGTTCGACTGTATGAACACCGATAACTTGAAAGCCGAAAAAGATAGGAACACTTAACTTGGTATGTAGACTTGTCTTAGGGATGTCCGCATTAATGTGTTGCAGGAACTTTTAAGTGTCAAAACTATCAATATTTCACTATATAGTATTTCCATTCACCATTGCTTATAAAACAAACGTTGCACTTTTAATTTATTTCATTAACTATGGATCTGTACTTAGTTAAAATTTAGGTTGTAGCTCTAACTTTAAAGTGAATTGAACGTTCTATAATCCAATTTTCAAATAAAAGGCTATGTTGACCGAAAGACAATCTGTTTGTCTTTATTTTTTTTTCAATGAAGAACTCGACTCTTCGCACAGCCGCAGAGCCTTAAATTATTTTGGAACTTCCCACATGTCTGTCAATGACTGTATTTCGGACTGACTGTTATTCGGAAACCACATCGTATTAAATGCAACTTAAAATGCAGAATGCTGTCTGATGTGATATGCAATCAACATTTTTTGTATATTGCTCCTCAATGACACATCAAAAGTCGCTCGCCATAATTCAAAATTAACGCAATGCAACAAAAAAGGAATTAATCAAAAAGCATTTTAACATGAGGAGTAAAAAAAATGTCGGCCATGCACAACGCTGCGTATGATTAATGCGTCTGCAAATGTATAGTGAGCCGCAAAAGGCGCAAAAGGCGCAAACTGCAAAGAAGCTCGTGCACAGCACAATTAATGATGCACAGCTCGTGGGCAGGCCGACGTTAAAGAAATGGCATTACTATGTATATTATAGTACATAAGTATAATTGAGTTTTAAGAGGCTTGCACACAGCTGTTGTCACCCACAATTGGGCGCCACTCGGAGGGGCTGCGAATGACGTCAATGCGAGAATGAGTCAAGCCTAGAAGTTCGTCGCTGATGCTTGGGCGCCTTTTATTGCTAAACTTATTTATAAATAACAAAAATCTTAATGAATCACATAATTAAAATATATTTCCTATTCAACAGCTGCAGAGTTTACTGAATTGTTGGCCCCCGGGCTTCCTCTTCTAGTCAATTTGTTTATGCATTGCATGTCTTTCCTCTGTTGTCTCTGTGTTTGGTTAAATATAATTGTAAGTTTCTAGGCGGCTCACTTTTATCATCCACGATAAGCCGCACACGCACCCATAAACCTCGTTTTTGGTTTTCCAACTTGTCGTCCACCTGCCTCCGAATGACCTTAAAATTAAATTGCCATTTTTATTTTAATAGTTAACATGCGTCAATTTTTTATGCGATTTCTTCTACCCGTGCTTATATATATGTATGTGTGATTTTATTTTATTTCAAGTCTCGTGCAGTGAATTGAATTTATGTGAGGGTGTCGATTTTTATTCACAGCCTGCACACATACGAATAGACGCTCAGGAAGTGGAGAAAGTTTCGTACTTGTATAAGCAATTAACGCTTTTAATTGTGTACTTAATAACTTAATTGCCCCTTGAAATATGTAATATATTTTAATTTCATGAAAATCTACAGCTCATACAATATGATTTGTTAAAACCTCCAAAACATTATTGACGAACCAGTAGAATGTTAAAGACTAAACAGTGCCGACTGTGCACTAAATTATTCTCAAAAGAAATTTTGTAGTATGATGAATGATTATTGCGCCGATTGATCCTATGGCAACATTATAATACAGTTGGCAGATCCTTGCAGATTATGATGAAAGTTCAGATATTGTTGGAGCGCTATAAACACCTGGTTAAGATGCCAAAATAAACAGAATAGTTTGTAGTTCTAAGAATGATTTCTCCACCGATCGTTCCTATATCAACTATATATGCTTTTCAAAAAAACTCACTCTCCGTGTGGTTAAGATAGAAGTTTGGTGCACAGTCGACGCAGCAAAGAAAAATTTCGATTCTAGTACAAATCTGAATCGCATTAATTTATTTATTTATTTATAAAAATCAACAAATTTACTGTCAATAAATAATTGGTAATATTAGAAAGTAAAATAAAAATATTTATAGTATTACATTATAAGTTAAACTTAAAAGATAAGAAAGCCTAAGGGAGAGCTATACAATGACGTCTATTAATGCCTCCGACACGTTGGGGGAATTTTATTTGCCAGTTGGCCAGCTATGCCCCGATTCACAGCCAAATGTGGTCAGAGACATTATAGACCTAACAAACTAAACAAATAGCAAGTAGAAGAGAAGAATTAATTCTACTTAAGAACTAATTAGAAAAAGTAAGGTGTAGAAAGAGGAAGAGGAAAAAGAAAAAATAAGAGGGAAAGAGAGATACAAAGACAGAGAAAGAGAAAGAGGTAAAGAGGTAAATCTCCAACCCGGTGGGGGAAAATTTAAATGCCAGTCCGGCTAGCTATGCCAGATGATATTATATTCTGATGGATGAAATAATAAATATAATTTTGTTATAATAATTAAATAATTACTTAATGAAAAATATTTTAAAAATATTTACAGATGCTTTATATATGTGCTTTTATGCTTTTATATATGTAGTTTCTATAGTTTATCAGATTGAAATGAAATCAATTAGCTGTGTTACTTGATTTGGGGACCTGATTAAAGCTTAACTTATTTATGTAGCAATTAGGCTCTAATTTGTTATCATTTGATTCGAAAAGAATACATATGTAGAATTCCATATTGAGCTGCTCGGATTGCCCATAAAATGACACCCAACTGGCACCTCAATCCGCCCACAATTGACAGCTGAAACGTGCAATTCTGAACATAATCGATGAGCACATTATACAGTCTGAAACATCTACGAGTATACCCATTTACAACCTGATAATACAAATTCAGTAGACGCTATTGTAGATGTTGCTGTGGATGTAGCGACGATGGCAACACGGGTCGCACGTTCGTGCGATTGGTTCGAACGATCAACGGCAGCAGGCAGACTGGACAACACCCGCTGAATATTAAGCATCCGAAACTCTGGCGGGTATATCCGATATATGTATGACCGACCAGTCGACTGATTCTCATTATGTACGTTTTGTACGTTTTTGCCAATTTGTTTTCGTATATAAATCTAACGCGTTGCGTTGTTAAGCCATCACTTCTTTGGTGGAAACTTAAGTGTTAAGTTTAGCTCCTGCCGTGATCAGTGCGCGTATTAATAAAATTATAGAAATCAACTTTGCAAATTTTTAAACGAAACACCTTATAAAATACTATATACAGCACCATGAAAGTCAGTGCAACGTTGGCATTGTTTGTGATCGTGGGTCTTGTGGCCTGTAGCCATGCCTTGCCGGCCAGAAAAAGTGAGTCTTACAAAGTGAAAAAAGGACTAACATCAAATTAATACAACTTGATAAAAATGTATTACTAAAACCAAGCTGTAAAGTTTCATGCAACATAAAGGGCTGAAGTGAAATACCCGTTAAAAATTCTTCAGTTATAACTAGCTCTATTGAAACCAAATATGTATAGGTTTCTAAACAAAAACTTCAGACTAATTGAAATGTCATATAATCTCCAAAATATCAGAAGTTTGCAAATTCAACTTCCCTTATTTCTAAAATGAATAAATTTTTCAAAAAACATCACCAATATATTGAAAAAAAAAAGTATTTAATTAAAGAGCTGTTACATTTTCTTAAACTTAAACTTCTAAAATGATATCATTAGTTCAAATTTAAAATTCCAAATTCAAATAAACATTCCGTTATTTCTCAAAATGAATACATTTTTCAAAAACCTCCCTAATTTTTGGGAAAATCGTTTATTTATTTAAAGAACTGTTAAATTTCCTTCATTATTCCTAAAAGAGTGCAGGATTTATGAAATTTTCGGATAAAATTAAGTTTTGTTTTTATTTTGCCGATTTTTAAATCATTGGGTTTGTTTGAAAACAAATTTTAATCTATAGCTCGCAACATTCCCAATTATATTAGAATTAACTCTTTTTCATAATCATCAACAGAATTATTATTATTTATTATCATTTTTTCGTATACATTTCTCATTGTTTTAATATTTATATTTAACAAAATTTTATTCTTAAAAATAACAATATTTTCTAAGACAAGTTTAGGAACAAAATAATTGCATGTCTAACCAATAGCCTCCACGAAATAGCCGATTTAAAATATAGCTTTGAAAATGCATTCTTCCATAGAAACCCATCAGTTTTCCCCATTGATTTTATTTATAACGATACAATTGTAGTCATTACTGATCTCCATTTTCTTAACAATTGGGGGCATTTGTTTCAATAGCCATGCATCTGAACGATCATTGACTCATATTTAGCCTGATCTCATCATTTTACACTTGCCATTAATCTCATGCCATTTCTTAACATCGCAATCGCTCTGTGAATCTTACTGAAGATCGGCAATACCTGATTCCAGGAATGGTCTACTACCAGCAGCCCGCAGCTGCCGCTGAGTGGTATGGATCGGCCCCACAGCAACGGATCATGTACATGCAATATGTTCAGCCTGGACGCACCCATGCCCGCTCGACTCAGGCGGCTAGCGCACTCGTCGCTGGCGAGACTGTGGCCACTGGAACATATTTGAAGGGTAAGCCATAATTGTAGAGGCTGGCTCGAGAGCCAACTCTAATCAAATCTCTCTGACCAAAGATTGCAATCACGAAGAATCCGATGCGGCGTCCGCTGCTACCATTGCCGACGATGCCAGCGCCGAGAGCCAACAGGCCGAGGACATTTTGAGTGCTGCCGGTGCCCATGGAGCCAGCTCCCTGGCCGAGGCCTATCCCGACGAGGCGCCTGTTGTCCAAGTGGCTGTCGAGGATGCCAGCAGTAGTGGAGAGACCGAAGCTGCTGTCGTAGTCAGTGACGATGCCGCTAAGGTGCCCCGCGACTTCAACTTTGCTGCCGAACAGCCCGCACCACCCGCTGCCGAAGTACCTGCCGTTCCAGTTGCCGAAGAGGAAGTCGTGCCAGCACCTGCCATTGAACAAGTGCCTGTGTCTTCTGCTGAAGCTGAACTGCCTGCCCCGGCCCCCATTGCACCTGTTGCCGCTGTTGTGCCCGCCAATCGTTATTTGCCCGCCAAGAAGAAGGTCTATGTAGAGCTGGATCAGTCACCCGAGGAGGATGAGGAGCCAGAGCTGAGCATTGCTGAGGATGAGGAGACCGAAAATGCCGTGTCCGATGATGTCGAGGAGGATGAAGAGGTCCTTGCCGTACCCGTTAAGCCAGTGGTGCCTGCCAAGAATCCCGCTCGTGTGCCCAATGCTCGTCGTCCAGTGGCCAGAAAGCCCGTCAAAGCAGCCGCCGCAGGTGGCCGGCCAACCAAGAAGCCAGCTCCCCTGCCTGTCGGCACCTTCTTCCCCATCGACTTCGGCGGCACCGCCGGTGGTGCCATTGCCATCGCCAACTCTTTCAGCACTGGTGAGGGCGGCGCGGCCACCAGTCATGCCATCGCCTATGGCTCTCCCGAATCTGTACGTGCCCGAATTCGCCCCAACCCTAGCAAGTTCCGCCACTAAGCGGTCACATGACTAATGCTCATCCACACCACTGCACCACACACATACCAATAATAACAACAACTCCTACTCTACTTAAGATTTTACCACCAAATCTTGCTCAGGCAATAACCATTGCCATTTTTTCGATGTCGAATTACCCTCCAGGTGCCCCAAGATTTCTAATTGCACTTTTTCTGTAATTAAAAAAAAAAGATATGTAATTTTATTAGACAAATTGTAAATTTTTTATGCGCCTTTAAATAAAACACAATTACTTTTTAAAACTACACATTTGTAAAAAAACCAAATTCTTAAACTTCTTAGCAGTCTTAGCAGAGGATAATGCTGATCCATAAAGCCTCTAATCCATCACCTTAAAAACAAAAACAAAACTGACAAATTTTTTTTTACATATTTACGGAATCCAAAATTTGAAATGTCAATTGAGAAATTGTACACCAAGTTTGGTGACTCTATCGCTATCATAGAACTTTACGTTCATACAAACGGATGGGCGAACGGACAGACCGACAGATGGGATTGATTGCAAACAGTCTTATGTCGTGATTGCAAAGTGAAAGAAAGTTGAGTTACAAACACATCTTATTTTAAAATTCTAAGTGTGAATATTTATAGGAGAATATACGTGTATTCCATATATGTATTTTAAATTAAAACTAAAATTCGAAATGTGAGTTTTTATAGAAGAATATATTCCATATTTTATACATATTTTAAATTAAAATTGTATTGTTTATAAATAGTGGACAGTTAAACAAATGTAAATGGCTTTGTCGAGCTGTTTATTCGTGTTCTTTATTTACACATTTAAACGTCAAACTTTACTTAAGCTTACCAAATTCTCCAAAATTTGTTCAACTATGTACCTAAAAAGATTAAAAGTGTGGTGCTGAAGAAAGTAAGAAATAAAATCGGTATTTTGCGTTTCGCCTTAGTTTTATTATTTATTGAACATCGGTTTGTTTTTATTCAGGATGTATTTGAAACTTAAATAAAATTTGCCCCCCCAAGAGCTTAAAGGATCAAATTAATATCGTAAAGTATGCAAAACCAAATAGTACTCGTATTTTTTGAAAATTACATACAACACAGGTCAGAAATTAATTAGCAACAAAAAGGAGCATGCGATGGGGTGCCTCGTTGACTCGACCGACCACTTCAGTTGACTTCAAGCGCCAAACTGCTTATTTGATATAATAAGAATACATATCTATATGTATACATATATATATATACAGGGTGCGCCATCTTTTATGTCGGTATGTAGATATTGAATAACTTTGTAATTAGTGAACCGATTGACTTGAGTAGACCAGTGTTGAAAACCTCAGTTCAAGAAATTGCACAGAACTAAATTAAATAAAAATATCTCATACTTGAAAATTGGTTGTTTATTTTCAAGGATATTCAATGTTTGCATACCGACATAAAAGATGGCGCACCCTGTATATAGTGCTCGCTTTGTTTATATGTTGGTGTATATATCTATGTAATTCGTAAATGGATCTTGTGTATATTTTAAAAGACACTACGCGTATTGTACAGCAATTTTGGGATAGCTCGCAATTGCGGCCTTAAATGTTCCACTTTCATGCCTATTAACAATTAACTGTCTAACGTTATGCTAATATAGATGTTTTTTGCATGGAATTGTTTATAACTTTTTGCATAAGAGCTAAATTTTTTTTTTTGACTAATAGGTATATGTATATATAAAAAATTAAAATATCCTCATCGACTCTACTATCAGTAACCATATTTGTCCTGCAGCGAGGACATGACATCATTAGCCAAGTTGCTTAATCGACCGGCCACCTTGTGAACACCCTGGCGTACACTCTCCTTTACATCGTCCAGATCAGGTGCATTAAAATTGACCGAGGTAGAATAACCACCACCACCTCCTGAAAGGAAAAATGTCTTTTATTAGCAGTGACAGACTCGATCAAACAGTAAAAAAAATTTTTTAAGTATAATATTTTATCGACTACGCTTGCTCCTCCTAATTTAACGCAACAAACAATGTTTAGCATATATCTGTTTAACATTTTAAATATGTAAACGACGTACAAGTTAATAGGAAATTTTGATTCATGTCTCATTACCTACATATCCATTGAGATGGTTTAATATTTGAGTAGAGCATTAGATTTAACAATGGAAAGCATCTGATTCTACTAATTATTTGTTTAACTTTCCTACGAGGCTTCCTTCTCTCGGTAACTTTAACTCACCACGCGAACGATTGCTCATGCCGCTCGAACTGCCATCACCGAAATAGTCCGATGAAGATATGGCACGCGAGCCTTGGAATCTATTTAGATTTGCACTGATATCAGCAGATGATTGTTCATTCGCAAAGTATTGATCCGAGCCGAAACCTTTGGAGTTGCCAAACTTTTGTTGTGCCATAACAGGGTCATTATTAGAGCTGGTGCCTTTACTCTTGTTGGACGCGCTGTTGCTGCTGTTTGTCTTGGTCGCCGTCTTAGGTTTATCGTAATCATTGCTGGCGGCAAACATAGATGTTATGTTGCTATGCGTCCCACCAATAGGTTCAATGGTCTCATATCCCAAGGCATCCAGTTCAAATTTGTCCAATTTGCTGGTACTACTTGAGCTCTTGTCGCCGCTACCGCCACTGCTGCTGTACACATTCAGTGTGAAATCATTGAAGAAATTATCGTTCTCTAGAGAGGAAAGTTTGTTTTGAGTGGTAGTCTTAGGTGCAGCGGTTTGCTGAATGGTTTCCATATCACTCAAGGCGGAATGCGAAACGTCGGAGCTGTAGCCATGAAATGTAAGTTAGAATTTTGAAGCTACATTATATACTCTGCAAATACCCTCTCAAGTTGAAGCCCATGCCTAGGCGTTCCATTTGCTTGGCCTTGGCCGGATCAATAGATTTCAGTTTATTCTCCTCACGTGTCTTCTGCAGCGACAAATCCTGATAAGCCAGACGCATGCTGGCCACTGTTTCCAATTCCTCTTCGGCAGTGAGTGTCTTCTCGCTGGGTGTTGCTGGCACAGTAGCTGTTTTCATTTCATTAGCTGCATTGGCGCGAGCCTCAATGTCTGCGAAATTCGCCTTCACCTTTGTGGCGCCCAGGCCGCCAACTTTGCGTGCACCCAGCTGGAGGACAACCATATCTCTATATAGTAGTGATTAAAATTAAAATCAAGCTAATTAACACTTACTCCTCCTTTTTTGGGCTGTATTTTTCGCACGCCAATGGAAGAAGGCACAGGAGCAGGAGACACAATGGCATTTAAGAGATCCACACTTGGCGCACCACTTATTTGGGCATCTATTGCACTCGTTGTCGATGTCGCTGGCTTATTGCTCAACTCCAGCTATAAATAAATGAAACGATTAGTTATGCAAAAGCAGTAATAATTGAATGGGTTACAAATCAACTCTAAGAAACTCTCAAACTCAACGCAGAAGCATACACAAATGTCTTCTGTGTAACTATTTTACCTTGGAAGCCAAGCTAATGTTATTGTTCTCCGCATTGAAGTCCAACTGACCATTGTCATTGTCGCATTGGGCGAAGAAATCCTCCTCTGTTTTGGCGTCGTTGCCCTCGAGCTTATCAGCCACTTGTTCCAGATGCAGCTACGGTTGTGTGGACGTGTGGGTGGCGTGCATTAAATAGAATAAAACGTAAACAAAAAGCGCAAGGCGTGGGCAACAAAGTTTTGCAAGTTAGTACGAAATGTATTTAACATATGGCAGAGCAAGCAGTAACAAACGGCAAACAATTGCAGCTTTATACAGCCACTTACCTTAGTACCATGGATATTCATTGCCTGTTGGGCCTGCCCCGCCAGCTTGTCGCGATATAGTTGAGCAGCCCTGGAATTGTACTTGACTTGGGCGTCGTTGCTGGTGCAGTTGTGGGAACGAAAGAATTGCGCTGCAACGGCATTGCCGCCCATCTGCATCTGACGCAACTGCAACCACGTCCAGTTCGTATCCAAGTTAGTTGACCTCACGAAGGTGAGATGCACGCCCAAGTTTCGATGAACTGCTGAGCAATCAATGCATATGAAAATGCCATACGTGACGGAAGACCAGGTGGGCGCTTTGGCCCCACAATCAAAGCAGGACTATGGAGCAGACGAAGCACAGAATTGTTAGTTACGTCTACTTCCCATTGACAATTGTGCCACACAATCAAATACACACACACACACACACATGTATGCATACACAAACTCACCTTGTTTGCTGGCTGCGCTCTTAAGCGACTGAATACGGCCTCGATTTCTTGCTTTGTGGGTCCTGTTGTGGCATTGGACATAATGTCTTCCTTTAGTTGCACTTGAACTATGCTAATTATTGGTTTATTATCGGGAAAATGTTGATTCCGTAGTTACACTTGATTGCTGGCGCAGTCCTTTGTTGGCAGTTAGTTGTCCGTGCTATCGTCCTATACTACATACATACATACGTTTAAGTAGACCTGGTTATTTCTGTTGTTTAAATACAGTTTTATGCATTAAACATTTGTATTTGCCAATGCTACTGCATGCAAATCTCGACGAAATTTAATTTTGACGTGTGTTTTCCAGTCTGCCTTCCACGTTTAGTCTGGAATTCAAGCGCGTTGCCACCCTGTGCACCTGTGTGTTTGCGCGCCTTTGTTTAAAACAAAAAACATATGCACATTTATGTCAGCATATTGTTCAGTAATACATTGCTTTTTTGTTATTTTCATTTCCGAAATAGGTATAGTGAAGATGTATTTATAATTATTACATTACATGTTTGTTTCCCTGAGTTGCAGAGTTGCCAGAAAGCGAATCAGCTGCTAAGCGATAATTCTGAATTGAGCGAAGTAGTGATGAGCAGCAATGTCGTGACGCTTATCGAACATCTGCCGTTTTGAAAAATTCGAATAAATTATTTGCCGAAATAAAAGTTTTAAGAAATCCATTTTTACATAATTAATGTGGCACATGGTCACATTTGATGTATAAATAAACACCATTGAAAACTTAATTTCGTTATAGCCCTGTAGCCCAACATAGAGGTTAATGAAATCGTTGTTATAATAATCATTGTTATAATCATTTAATTTTCTTAGAACGCCACCGTCAAATACTAGAAACTAAAACCTATTATCGAATTACTGATGAACAATAATAGCGAGTACGTCAGTTTATGGAATGGTATTATGGTATTAGACATATTTTTACAAATAGCTTAATCTGATAGATGAGGGGTCACACTGCAGCATAAATTGTTTGAAAAAACCTTTCGCAAAAACTGTCAGTAATACCACAATTTACTTGAATATTTAGTGACGGCAATAGTTGTAGAAGGTAACAGACAGACATTGCTCATCTCTAGCAATTACTTAAACCACAGATATCTCCACACGCTTGCTGCGCCACAGACATCATTAAAGTAAGGCGGAAGATGTGAAAATGGATTCAGCAATAAAGTTCCACAATAATGGATTCATGTTGCATACCAATGAACGTCGTGGCCGCCAAAAACATGAGTGCATAAAGAAAGCCGGCAAGAATTGGGTGGTAAGTGTTTTTCTTTTGAAGTAAAACTATAATAAATTTTTATGTATCTAAAACTTCCTTGCATGCTTGTATATACATACATACATACATATGTATGTGCCTCTATGCATACACAAATGTACATACATATATAGTGTGTTTAGAAGTGTATTATCTTATTTGTTTACGCTTTTATTATCAGTTGGAAATGATACTTATCTTGGGTTATTATATGACGCAAATTGAAACTTCTTTTCAGATAATTGATTCCAAAGAACAGAAAGGCTACCATAAAACGACGCAATCTGCGCAACAAGGTTCAGAGGATTTGTGTCAACACGCATGTGCGGATGCCGAAATAATAAAGGAACCGCGATTTAACGCATTTAAGCATAGAAAGATGCAGCGGCACATCGAACAGATTGTTAGATCCAGTGTTAAACGCTCTGAAATCGAGTCGCGCTCATACTTTTTTGTGATGGTAAATTATTTTACGAAGGCAAGAAATTGGGATGTCTATACGCCGGCAGAAATAGCTGTCTCCCAGTTTTCATTAAGGGAAGGAGTGCAGCGTATCTACCACACCCTCGTCAATCCAGGCACGTAAAGTGTTTATTAAATGCGCATCACAGATCAGTGACTAATATACATATGGATATTTTCTTTTTCCAATTTCAGGTGCCAATCTCTATGGGGCTAAATTTCAGACACAACAACATGCCAATCTTACACATAGACTACCTGTGCCTCCAAAAGCCTTGGGCGAAGTCAAGCTCGAAAAAATATACAACGATCTTGTAGAGTTTGTGTGTGGCAATTTGAAAAATGAGGATGAGATGCCACCCGTGTTTACGATGGCGAAGGACATACCCATTGTTACTAGCGTTTTGAATTTTATCAGTAGTGGCTTGCGAAGTAAGCTGAAAGTTTATTCGCTAGAATATCTATTTTTCATAATGAAAGAAGCCACATGTGAGGCTGGTGGTTTGCCGGCGCCAAAAGATATATATATTACTAATGCACTGATGAAGGTGGACACTTACGAGCATCAGTCAAATATAGGTTGCAAATATCATGCAAAACGCAATCTATCTAAATATTGTGCCAAGTCATACGTAACCCGATGGGGGTTTATGTTTGCCAATTACATGTGCCATGATTTGGGCATTAAACTACACACAAATCGTCATATGCCTTCAAATTTGAAAACTACGATAGGAAAACCTGCAAATGAAGTAGATGGAGTTGAATCGAGGCCAGAACCAAAACCTGCAAATGAAGTAGATGCAGTTGAATCGAGGCCAGAACCAAAACCTGTACAACTTGAGATTATCCCAAGCAATTCAAACACAAATCCAGAGAACGAAATTGAAAATGAGCAGCATGAGGACCCTTTAATTCAAATTAAAATCGATGATATCAAAAGTGAACCACCCGATGATATTGATAACATATTTAGTGCGGATATATGGGAAGCATTTGAGGACTTGGAAAAGTTTATCCAGCAAGAGGATGCTCTCCAAAATGAAATTCAATCACCGGCATTCTCAGTTTCAGTTAAGGAAACAAATAAAGAAGAAATCATATTTACACGTCGACCAAATCGTGAAACCAAAATAGAAATCTCAGCATCAGTGGATGAAAGTGTTTCAACTGAGGTTCAGGAGGAAGAAACGGAGGAAGAGCCGAACGAACTGGAATTTTTAGCTACAGAAACGTTTATTATGCATAAAGAGGAAAAAGATAAGGTAACATTGGGTACGGCTAGCTCGGAACCAAAAACCAACTTAACGAAATCCCCGATTGTATGTATTGAGATCGAAGAGGACATGAGTGCAGTGGAAACGAACCTTAGCAACTCCCTTAATAAGGAAAGCACTATTTCACCGGTTACAAGTCTACAGTCCATGGATAAAGGACGCACTTGTTATCGAAAGGGCACCCCACCAATAGGGAACCGTAAAAACAGTATTTGTTCGATTTCAAGCGATGATCGTAGCACACTTTTAAGAAGAAGCATCTCACCATACAATGATGAAATAAGACAGAGGAAAAGTTCTACTCCTAAGAGAAATGGTTATCACCGTGGCCGCTCCAATTCAAGGGTACATAGCAGACTGTACAAGTATGATGGAAGGCTCGTCTCGCCTAGACACAAACAGGAACATCGGGCTCGCTCAAGAGGAAGTGCTCGCACCCGTCGGAGTAGAAGTACTTCATTGAGAAGATGTCGGCCATTAAAATACCACTCTAGGTCCAGAAGTTGTTCCAATTCACTTAACAGAAAAAGTATTTCGAGAAGAAGACCATGCAGTTTTCGGGGCCGTTCTAGCTCAGAAGAGAGCGATAATATTACCAAAATTGGCAACGTCTCACCATGCAGGAGAATATCAGTTAGAAGAAATCACCGGCACCATGACCATTCCAGATCAAGAGATCGATCAAATTCACTTAAAAGAAGGATTTTAGAAAGAAGACAGTACAGACATCGCAGCCGAAGTAGTTTTGAAAAACATGGTGGAGAAACTGAAAACGGCAGCATTTCAACCAGAAGATCTGCAGTTAGAAGAAATCAACGGTACCATGACCATTCCAGATCAAGAAGTCGTTCGAATTCACGGAAAAAAAGGATCTTAGAAAGAACACGGTACAGACATCGCAGCCGAAGTAGTTTTGAAAAACATGGTGGAAAAACTGAAAATGGCAACGTGTCAACAAGATCTGTAGTTAAAAGAAATCAACGATATCAGGAACATTCCAGATCTAAAAGTCGTTCTATTTCTAGTTTTGAAGAAAACGGTTACATATTAATTAACAGTATTGATTTAAGCAGAAGAAATCAACAATCGCGGGAGCGTTACAGAAGAAGAAGAAGTTCTTCCGATTCCCTTAGTCGAAGAAGTATTTCGCGACCGAGGCAGTACAGATACCGTTCAAGATCACGGGAAAGTGGTAGGATATATAATAATCGGAATGTTTCACCAAACAGAAGAGATTATCATAGACAACTCAAATCAAGAGAACATAGTCCTTACAGTTACCGACAAAGTATTAAGTATTTGACGGACAACCGGACCGAAATGAATTTATGCCGCCGTCAAAGCAGAAGTATCTCCCCGAAAGGGTGCGTAACGAAGCAATTATCTCAAAATTATCAATCAAGGTCAACTTCAAATTCATCAAGTAATGAAATTGTGCCAAAAACTGAAAGTACAGAAAAAAATAAAGAAATACAACCGAACAGTTCAAAAGGAAATCTTCAGTTGGGTGATCAGAACATTGAGCCTGGAGAATATGCCTATAATGAGAGCATGAATCCTGCACTGCAAGGATATGGAGTATCGCAACCGATTCATGCAGCTCAATACACCCAAACATCCTACAGTACATCCCATCATCTTACATACATAAGTTATCAATCAACGTTGGATTATAAGCCACAACAAATGTTAAATGACCCATTAAACTTGCGGCATCGTCTAGGACCTCGTACGTCTTTAAAAGATCAGGATCTACGACTTCGCTTACTTAAACAGAACGAATATATTACACCGTTACCCAATCAAACAGACGTTTATTTTCCTAATCCACAAAATCAACTACACCCTTCAATTTGGGGATTTAATCCTGGACAGTATAGTGGGGTTCAATATGGCTATTGCTACTTTCCCTAAAACCATTTGAACTCGAGTGTTTTTAACAGTGCATAATGTAACATTCCTTCATGAAGGATATGTATTTTAAAGTATGTGTTAGCAGTGGACATAAAATTAAATCCTCTTACATGTTTGATGTGGAAACAGCTGAATAATTGTCGCGAAGACTTTTTTTTTTTCTTGAAATCAATTTGAATGTTTTACAACCTTTCCGAATAAAAAAAAAATAAATATTGTTTGTTTTTTATTTTTAATATAAGTCGATTTTTATTATTTTATTAATTAAATACTAAGGTTGTGAAATCAATAGATTTAAATAACCCATTGAAAGATGTGAGAAATACCTAATATCTAAGTTTCTAAATTACTTTACAAGGAAAGAAGTCCTTCAAGTACTCGATTTTAAAGTAACAGTATTAAGCATTTAAGTGCACCAAATATTGTTTTTTAATAATGAGAAAAATCACAAAACAGACTTAATATCCATTTAAGTTGATAATAACAGCAAGTCGTGCTGCATTTCTCTGTTTCCCTAAAGTGAATTGTAGTCTGCTGATTAGCTATTGAATTGATTTAGCAATGGTCGTAAACCTGGCATCAACGTGATGATCTCAAAAGACCTAGAAGAGATTTAAAAAATAATATATCGTAGACATTATAAAACAAATTTGGAAGTATTTAAATGTAAGATAAAAAATTTTTAAATATAAAGAGAGAGGGAAGAGACTTGAAGATGTAAGGACCTAATATACAAGTATATCTTAGTACTTACCTCAAATTATATCTTGGTAAGGCAACGGAAACGAACCCTTACCTTCTGTCAAATTGATCTATGAATAAAACGGGGCTATTATAAGCGGATGGGATGATTCCGAAATTTCCATAGGCATAAAGGGATTTTTATAATAATAATGAAATAGCAATATATGTATGGGGAAACAAAACTATTATAGATGCTTTACAAAAATTCGAATTTTGTCACATGAGAAGTGTAAACAGAAAAATCAGCAGGAAAAGCCAATCAAATGTTACATTTATCATGATTTTTGACTGCATAAATTCCGTTGGATCTGTAGTAAGTAAAGAAGATACAACACTTAGATTAATATAACACCTCATGTGAGGAATGGGGTATGTGTAAACGTAACACCCACATTATACAAACGAGTATATTCGTGTTGCATCGTATTTGGTTTGGATTGTAGAAACTGCGAATGATTAAATAATGAACGAATGATTAATCAAATGAATGAAACAATTTTGCATGTGTAGAAGCTCCAGTTGTTTTTTACTTACGATGACGTGTATTTGGTACACCTTAGAAGGTTTTGTATAAAAAGCACTGAAATCTTGGAACAGTTACCAAATTGTAATGGCGCTGTCCATATTCATGTTGATTTTAATTCTTGGCTCTACAATTTCAGCCAGAAAAGACCTCGATCGTCTCATTAATGGAGAAGCTGCCCAGTTTATGCAATTTCCACATCAAGTGTATTATTTGAAATATATTACAAAAACGGGATGGGTACATCCCTGTGGTGGAAGCATTATATCAAAGCGTATCATACTAACTGCTGCCCATTGCGTGTCCGATAAATTGTAAGAAATAGCCTGTAGGTAATATATGTTGTCTTTATCTCTGACTTTATTCTGTACTTATAGCAAATATTTGCTTATATTCTTGGGCAAAACTAATTTGGATAATGAATACGAGAAGGGGCAGCAATGCTTCCTATTGGGCCGATCAAGGGTTATAATTCACGAAGAATTCGATGGGCACACTCTTTTGAACGACATCGCATTAATCAAAATGAGATATGATATCAAGTTTAGCGAATTTATACAACCAGCTTCTTTGCCAATGGAGGAACTGGACTATGTCAACCAAACAGCTGTAGTTTCTGGTTGGGGTTCCATTATACGTATGTGTATTTGCAAAAAACAACTACCTGCAACAAGCTACATAGATAGGTTCTCTTACAGATGATTACAATCCAAAACTCCATGTGGGCACAAAACAACTTCATCATCTAAACGTTACCATAATATCGAACGAAGTTTGCAAGAAGTTAGTTCAGGAAATGGTGCCCGCCAAACCATTCACAGAAGCATTTATATGTCATAGGCCCACAAATGGCAGTCCATGCAATGGTGATTCCGGAGGACCACTAATATTACTGGATGGATCTAGAACATTGGTTGGAATCACATCGCACGGTGTGAGAGGGTGCGATCGCTACAGCCCTGGCATATACACTCGAATCTCTTCTTATTTGGGCTGGATAGCGAAATACGAAAACGATACTAATTTTAAACGCTGATAGAAAATGTATAGTTTTATAACAATTTCCGTACTTTGCTTTGGTTGATCTGACTGATCAATTATAATGGGCCACTTTGAAACTTCAAAAATTTACTGGCTTAGTGTATGTACATATTTTATAAGAACTTATTTCCAACACAAATAGCTCTTTAGTGGCCCTTTCACCTACAAAACTAGAATAACTTCTAAGGCAATCATTTCATGCTTAAATCTGTGATCAGAGTAGAGGATTTTTTAAGATATTTCAAAGATTGAAGTAAAATACTTTTTTAATCAATTGTGTCTTTTTGTAAAATTAAATACAGTTCTATCTTATAGTTACATCTCACCTGACTTTTGGAAGTTGAACAATCCTTTTATTTTATTGATGTGAGGATATACATACAAGTAAGTAGTAGTTACTATAAGTATGTTGTTGCTTTGATAACGAAATTAGTCAAGTAAACCCCTAGAGCAGGGCTTAAAGCATCGGAATTCTCCTCTTATGATAGGTGTGTGTACCTCATTATACTCGAAATATTGTTACTAGCACTTCATCTCGCGTCAGTATCATCTTTGAGTCTAATGAAGCTTAGTCGCATCTGTGGCTATTATATATAAATAATAATCAATAAAAGATTAAGTGTTTTTATTAAGTCCACAAAGGACTACCAAAATAATTGCTAAAGTATTAATTTAGGTCAGCTTCTTACACAAGCCAACTATATGACAAATGCCTAAGTCGTGTATTTTACCCACGATATATTCTATTAGTAATATAGAGGAGCTGATAACACGTAATGAAAAGCCATAAAACTGATTTTGTATCACGAATACAAATATTTTTTGTATATAAGTTTTGGCTTAAAAGACTTGGTGTTATTTAAATTTGAAACGTCCACTGAGAAGAATGCAAATACAAGTTATTGTAGCAGCCGTGGTCGCCCTTGTTTTGGAGCTTAGCCTTACGGTTTCCGGTAAAAGTCCATTTCTGGAACGCATTGTGAATGGAGTACCTGCAGAGCCAAAACAATTGCCGTACCAGGTAGTCTTTGATGTACTTCACAAAACCAGAGGATGGGAACCAAGTTGTGGTGGCGTTATAATATCTAGGCGCATAATATTGACAGCCGCCCACTGTGTACCTCCCGAAGTGTAAGTTTAAAAAAACAATTTGGAAAATTAAGGCACAGATTTGAATAGCATTACGCACAGTACCCATCTAGGAATCCTTTTAGGTGCTGTTAATAAAGGGATTCTGACTGAAAAAGGACAACAGGCAATAATTTTAAGTCGAGATCGAGTTATAGTTCATAGGGACTATATTGAGTTTGACTCCGAATCATGGATTGTTATCAATGATATTGCACTGATCAAGCTTCCAATGGATTTGCAATTCGACGAGCATATACAACCTGCGGCCTTGCCATCAAGAAAACAGGATTATGCTAATAAGCCTGCTGTTACCAGTGGTTGGGGTCTTGTTAAATGTAAGTCTAATATGTATTAGTAATATATAATTAATTGTAAATATATACTTGTTGATATTCCAGTTGATACGACTAATCCAAACACTACTGAAATTCTCCAGCTAACTAATGTTACCATTATGTCAAATGAGGATTGCAAAGAATTCTTCCATAAGTATATTCCACGCAAAATTTTTACATCCTCCTTTGTTTGTATAGCTCCTGGAAATTCCACACCGTGCAATGGCGACTCTGGCGGTCCATTGGTATTGCAAGACGGTAAAAATACTTTAATTGGACTAACATCACATGGTTTTGGGGGTTGCCCATTGAATGCTCCTGTTATTTTCACAAGAGTTTCATCTTATTTGGATTGGATAAAGGAGAACTCTCACCTAAAATATTTCAATTAAATTAAATCAGTTATACTATCGAGCATGGACGGAAAGGAATTGGTAATCATCTAATTGTTTAATTAATTTGTTTCTTCTTCAAATTTCTTTTCAACTGTTTTTCGATTCTATACAATTCAATAAAATTGAAAAACCTTTCGTCAAAAAAAAAGAAGATATACATATGTTGCCTTTTAAAAGAAAGCTAGCCGACTAGTAGACAAAAAACTGATGGTATTGTTTTGAAAAAAAAAATGTGGCAGAGAACTGGACTAGTGTTTTGTAATCGGCGCAGACAACAGTGTTTGAAGCAAAAAAGTTCAACACCATTTTTTATTTTTCTCACTTGAATGCAAATGTTTTTCTTCTTTGTCATGTTTAAAAAGAGAAGCTTAAGAAAAATCAAACAACTAGATATTGTTCCACAGCCAAAATATTTAATTCCCATAGATTTTTAAGAGTTTACTAAAAAAAATAGATAATAGAATGGCAGAAAAAGCTGCATTTTGAAACCCCACGGACTGCGGACTGAAAGCAATGTTTTATAAAAAAATAGAGAAGAATGTATAGTAAGCGAACATCGTGATATCGCTGTATCTGCGCAGTTTATACAGTAAAAGGCTAACTGGAAAATTATTCTAGATAAAGTCTAACTGGTATTATAGAATCAATCTTAATATATTATGCACAATGTAAGCTCTTATTTTGGTTCTCAAGCAATTCATTTCTATCCTAGAGTTATGAAGAACCTGTGTTTTCGACCATATGCTTTGACATATTTATCTCAGATAAGTCAGAGATGTAAGTCCTAAGTCTCTGTCAACCATGTCTCATTTTCATTGTCAAAAAGTTCTGTACGTATGGGCAATGCCAAGTCTGCTTGAAACAACCAGTATTCTAACTACTATCGAAATTAGTTTTCTTTAAACAGCAGCATATCGGTAAAAATTATTTTCACGTCCTTAAGAACCCCCATTTCCTTTAAAAATCGAGGTTTCATATATTTCTGAAATATTTAATTTGTATACCGAAAACATTACACGAAAAGGCGATCCAAGATATTTAGGACTAAGGAGATGGACTGCAATCTGCAACCTAGGTCGGCTTGGACCTTGCATGCATTAAATCATATCCATAGACGCTGCGAAGCCGTGGCTCGATATTTTGGGCATATACATCGGCCCACAAATACTGAGGTGCCAATTCCTCATCGCTGCGTGCTACCTTAACCGCATTTTGAACCTCTGTCTGTACCTCAGCATCGATTTCTTCCAGTTGCTCTTGAGATTGTAAACCATAATCTAAACAAAGCTCTCGAAACCTATTGATTGCGTCACTCTTTCGGCGCACCTCCTTTACCTCCTCTCGACTCCGATAGCTAGTGCCCGGATCTGAAAGCGAGTGCCCGCCGTAGCGATATGTGCACAGTTCCAGCAGCAGAGGGCCCCGATTCTGGGCAAACTCGATGGCGTATTCAGTAGCGCTGCGAACAGCCAACACATCCATGCCATCCACCCATATGCCTGGCAGCACATCACCACGAGTATAGTAGCGTGTATTGCAGGCAGCCCGTTCAGCGCTGGTGCCCATGCCATAGTTATTGTTCTCGCAAACGAACACTATGGGCAACTGCCAGAGCGCTGCCATATTGAAGCTCTCGAACACCTGACCTTGGTTGGCCGCACCATCGCCATACAGTGCTAGGCACACTCCACCATTCTGCCTATACTTGCTCGCTAAGGCCACACCGGCGCCCAGGGAGACCTGTGCACCCACTATGCCATTGCCGCCGTAAAAGTTCGGGGCGTACATGTGCATGGAGCCACCTTTGCCACAAGAGCAGCCACTACGACGTCCAGTAAGCTCCGCCAGTACCCCCTGTGCAGACAAGCCCATTAAATACGCCCAGCCGTGCACACGATAGGCGGAAATAATGCTATCCTCCGGACGCATGACCGCACGCATTCCCACTGCGCACGCCTCCTGTCCCGTGTACAGATGGCAGAAGCCGCGCACCATGCGCTCTTTATACAACCGATTGGCCGCCGCCTCGATCTGACGTATCGCCTTCATCTGGCGGTAGTAGCGCACCGCTTCTGCCTGGGTCAGGGAGACCATCGTATCGGGTCCTTCGCTGAGACGATGCAGCTTAAATCCTCGCTGCAGGCGCACACGCGCTGTCTGCTCCTGTTCCTGCTCAAGCCCTACATTAGGATGCACTCCGGCCACTGTGATGACGCCATTCTCATATCTGTCATGCAGAGCGGAAGGTGCCAAGGGTCGCGGCAGTTCCGCGGCCGTGAAGTGCACTCGACGCATCAGACGCGTCAAAAGTGCATTTTTCGTTGGGTCTATTAGGTTGTGCAGTATGATCCCTGCGCTGACGGAGGCCTTAGCTGTTATTTTGAACATTGTATGTGCATGTAATTGAAAATTTGTCCAGCCTAAAAGTGCCTCCCTAATTATAAATAAAAAACAAGCCAATACCTACTTTGATTACCGCTCAAATTATAAATAAATAGTATAAATAGTTATAAAGCTAGCTGACGCCCCACTGTCCTCTCCTACCTAGGCGTACTGGTTCAAAACCAAAGCAAGTGCCTTGTATTTGTTGTTGTATTATTTCTCTGATACCTTATCAGACAACAGCTGACGGTTTGAAACCGAATGGCAGAAACAATTCGTAGCTGGTGGCTTTCAGAGAGTCGCTCTCATTCTCATGAACTATACATGTATGTGTGAGTGTACACGGGCAGAAGAGAAAACGACACACACACACACAACCCACTTGCCGGCAAGCGAGTTGGTTTTGAACCGGGGGCTGCTTGTTATTTCTCAGCTGACTGAATAATGTCAGGAATTCTTGTTCTTTACGATAAACAAACCAAATAGAAATGACAATTAATCGCCGCCCCCATGAATAAACGACGCTGGGCCATAGTCAATGACTCAATAAGAATGGAGGCAATATTCCGGGGGCACTGTTTCGGTTCGTGTTGATTCTGTGGGTTATCTCTAGTAGTGTATGGTCGCGCCTCCAATGTTAACGTGCCAATATAATGCTTGGTTGTTGCTGTAGTAACGACGCTGACATTCTAATGAACAGCTCAAGGTTCGTTAGATGGTAGAGTTGTTGACGATACCGCTATAGTTACTGGTGCAAAACCATTCGCCAAATATTAGTTTGAAACCATTTTCGATACATACCTTGAAAGCCAAATTTCCCATAATCATAGCCTTATCTTTCACGACAAAAGAGGCAGTAAGACCTCATTAAGTCGGTTACGTTTTAAAATAAATAAGCAATTGAGTGAAATATAGTGCAACAAGTTCTCGATTAAATATTATTTATTTGAAATTATCTTTAATTTACATTTTTCTTTAGTAATATACATCTTCAAAAAGAATTTAAAAACATTTACAAATCAGTAGAGAGTTTACTAAATAATGCTTGGATCAAACAATCAAAAATTCTGTAAAAATACTTTGACAACTCAATTTATGGGTCTAATTTCGTCCACTGTTCTCAGATAAGAAAGGTGCGCTAATGGGCGAAAAATGTGTATGTACCTAGTAGATCGGTTATGCTTTCTGAATGGGTTTTAAATGCTGAAGAATTCAGTTCAACTTAATGAAAGTTGTTGTTAATGTCCAGTACATGCTTGTATGCGTATTGAAGAACATCGCTTTGGTTTTGGCCAAAGTATACTTGGACGTTAAGTGTATAGACTCCGTTCGTCTGTCCGTGAACAGGGCAATTAAATCTGGGTATGTTGTAGATATACCAGTTATAGCTCTTGCGCAGCGACATCTGCCTGTCACGTTGGCCCGGGATGCATTCTTCACTCTCCAGAGCCATAATTTCTTTCTCCTCCCAACATGTAGCATTATGGTTCGTCTCATTAACATGCCAAATCCGCAGCTTATAGTCGTGGTAATTATTGGAGAGCCCGATCACAAAGCGCTCTCTCTCCACATTAAAAAAGGTGTTGATGCGCAACTTCCCGCAGTTGTAAATGTAGCTGGAATACAGAGTGCTTCCAATCTGGATATACTTATTGGCGATGGTATCATGCTTATAGACCGTGAAGGCCAGACACAGGCGGCTGCGATTCTCACTGTCCGGACTCGTTGTAATGTTAGGAACGCCTAGTTTCCTATAAAACTGCTCGTACTTCTTCAGGCTAGCATTTCGAACAGTCTTTGTGCCCGCCACTATCCAATATCCAGTGAACTTATACGTAAAGTTTTTTCCATCCTTGGTGGACATTTCTTCGCTTACAGGGTTAAAGCGTTCTCGGGGTTGGGTAGTTCTCTGCGAATGTAGCGTATGCGATGACAAACGAATTGGGCGGCCTTCGGGTCCGGTCCCAGGTTCGGTCGCAGCATGACAGTGAACTAGGAACTTGACGTTGTTGCTGGCCTTTTCAGGCAGGTCGAGTTTTACTACAACTGGGCCCCCTTCACATCTGATGGAGCCACGCGGACCATCTTTCACCGATCGGAAACGCAAGTCCGATGGATTTCCTTCAATTGAAACACTCATGATGGTAAACTACTGGCGTCGGCTACTGGGAGAACGAAAACTCTTATTTAGACGTTGCTCGTAACGCTGCTCGCTCGCAACTGAAGAACCATTTTGCGCTCCCGCGTTTTTTATAGGTTTGAGATAACAGACGACGAAGTCTTCTCTTGGTACGCAACCAACATCGAGTTGCTGGCATTTCAGGTTTCGGTTTCAAACCAATTGCCGCACATTGAAAAGTTTTAAGTATTTGTTTATAAAATAAACACATGCAATACTTATACTAATAACTTGAAATTGTGCTCTCTGCTATTTATGAATCTATCTAATGAATATTTTCTCTTAGTACGGCACCACCTTTACTGAAATTACTGTGCCTGATTATATGTGTATTACTATGATTTACTTAAGTTTAAGTAGATTTAAGATTTGTTTATGCAATGGATAAACAATTTATTATCAAATTGATTTAAATAGCGATTTGTTTAGAAGCAGTTGCTTGCATTATTTGTATTTAAAATGGAGATAATATAAGAACTTACTTAATATTCCATATAAACAAGATGACAACATTTAAACAGCCGGCAAAAATCGGCTTATAGTCGTGGTAAAAGCAAAAGCCGGTCATCACTCTTAATTTACTAAGAAAAACACACAATGATGCTTGACTCTCTTTTGGTAGAAAACCATACCTCTACAGAGGAGCTATTCATTGATAATGCAATTGAAATTATAACAAGAAAGAACGCTACAGTCGAGTCGAGTAGGAAAAATATATGGTTTAAAAAGTGTGTTATATATTTTATATTCAACATTCTTAATAACATACATTTCTTAAATGCGTATTTTATAAGTATTTAGCAATTCTACTTATAAATACCTTAAATTACAATTGTAAACGAAGTAAATGCCCTGCCTTGACTAAATGCATTGGTTTATTTTATAAATGAGAATCAATTGGAAAATTTGAACTGAGATCATTTAAAGTTCTGAAACAGAACAATATTAGCGTGTTTGTTCTGTTTTTGTTCTCATTTTCGTCCGGCAAATGGGCTTGTCCGAGTAAATCGGCCCACATACTCGCTGAAGCTTGCCCTGGGCGTCCTTCTGACATATGCAAACCATTAAATAGAGCTGAAAGGAATATGGAAATAAAGGAGAAGTTAATTAATAAGATTGAAACCTGTATGCCTTCCCTAACTTTGACTTACTTCTTCATCAGCCTCCTTCTCATATTTATCTGCAGTATTTTCCACGCAGCTTCCGTCTAGGGAACGACTGTCTAGCTGGCAAAAGAAGTCCAACTTGCTCTTTATGACGTCCAAATAAGGTCGCACCCTGGTATTAGATACCACACAGAATTTTGGAATATTGCACATGTAGGTGCCGTTTGATTCTTTTCGTTCCATTTGACAGATGGGGGGCTGCATCGAACCCTCTTTGTTGTAGAGTTCGTAGCCACTGAAGCGCGGGAAGTAATCGCTCTGTCTATAGGCGTTACAAATGTCAAAATAACAGAAATACTCAGCGTTCTCGGGATGGTTGCTATTGATGTCGATGGCTTGAAACGTTACGATTGGGTAATTGTTGCAAAACTTAATCCGAGATGGGTAGGTAGTGTTATCCATATAGCAGCCATTGTCTGTTAGATAGCAAGAATATGCCATCAAATCCTGGGTATTGTTGAGATTACCGTTGATAGGTGGTCCGTTTGAGATATTGGCTCTTTCTCTTTCATCTTCCAGTTCAAAGACTATGCGGATTATTTCTGCAGGTAGTGTATCATACGGCTTTGTTATTATCCCGGGGTTAGCTTTTATTTCGTTCAACAGCTCAGATATGTGGTATTCTAGCTGACGAACATTTTCTATCGAAGAATTTCTCATCCCATCCTCTTCTAGCATTTCTAGGTTGAAATGGTCGATGTACCAGTCAACCGAATTATTCGGCATGGACTCATCCATTTCGAGCAAAATTAACTTTGATTTTAAATAACAACCGTTGTTCAGTTATAATTATTTAATTTATGTTTATTTAATTTTTCAATTTACTTAAGACCCACACGTCTTTACTCCACAACACACAATTATAAACTGATATTTCGCACCGAGCGCACCTAAAAAGAAATATTCTCGACTTCCGAAGTGGCATTTTTTGATAGCACAGTTTTGATAGCACTCTCACAGAGCAATTCACAAGAGAGGATCGGTTCCTATTTGGTTCCTTACCACTATTGCTCTCTTGCTTTTAATGGATTCCTACAACAATTTTCGAGCATTTGATTGATGATTTATAACGGTTATCGTTGTTGTTTTGTCATTGGTTCTGGCCCAGCGTCATTTATTCATGGCGCGCGCCGGTTACTACTATATGTTTGTTTACCGTTGAACTTAACACACTCAAATCGCTCTTCCATTTCTGAGGTAATATGGATGGCATTTACTTCCAAAAATCGCATGTGAAGAACAAAACTATTCATCCATGCACCTGATACTACTCAGACAGTCGAACAATAGCTAATGGCGCGTGGATCAGAACCAACTTGCTTGCCGGCAAGAAGACCATGTGCTTCGTTTCCCCTTATACAAGCTCGCAGCCTCTTTCACTCGGTTCCAAACCACCAGCTACTGCTATAATATAACAAGAAATGTCTATCAGGTATAAGATACCTATTACATAGTGTGTTGTTTTACATTGATTTTAACTTATAATTGCTTATTGCTGACGACCAAATGTATTCATACGATATTTTTATACCTTGTACCCGTAGGGTTAAAAGGGTATATTAGGTTTGTGCAAAGTATGCAGAAGGAAGCATCTCCGACCCCATAAAGTATATGCATGTCCGCCCGTCCGTCTGTCCGTCTGGATGAACGCAATGATCTCAGAAGCTATAAAAGCTGGAATAACCAAAGT